GATACAATGAACATGTACTCATAATGACCCACAAACAAAAGAAAGAAAATAAACACCCATTCTCGCCGCTATTGCGAGATACATGCACATCACTCATTCTTTCCAACACAGCTTCCAACAGCAATCGTAATGATGTACCTTTTTAGTATTATGTGCAACTGCACTATCTTTCTTTCTAAACCGTCCCTTTTTGTAAACTACACATTTGCACACACACAGTAAAAGCTTTGTTGGCAGCCAGCACCCGCCATCGTGTGATGTTTCTTGTCAGTGTTTAAAACTAGCGCCGTTTTTTCAGTTGGATCCACACCAACGAGCTCGTATCCAATCAATTCTAAACTACGCTGCACACTGTTCATGCCGGTGCATGTTCTGCAACAAGAACTGCAAAAGAGATACGCTAAAACTTTTAAGTTGTGGTATGGCAGATGTAGGTGCCTTGATAAAGGTATGTTTGCAATGAAGTGACATAGCAGTGCTGATGGTTGGATCACAAGTGAAATGGCTAGTCCTTTTCAAAACATCAGATCAAGTGACAAGGAATTCTATGAAATGCATTATTCGCTCCCGAAAAGCCAATGTTGTAATCTCACGCTGATGTACTATGCATTGAAGGTAAGGCAAAAGCAGGCTTCCTACTACCTTGTGGTTTTTCACTTGGAAATCCTTTTTCTCCCTTACAACAAAAACTACTCTTCTGAAACTTTCTGCTTGTCTGACTGACCAACAATGCTATGCAACAATATAAAAGCAGTATTTTCACTTGAACTGCTACATTCCGAAAATTAGGCTGCAATATCGGTCAAAATGCTTTTTTTTTCAACTTTGACATATTTCAGCAATATTTTTGCTTCATTTGCTCCTGAAGTATTTTAATCATTTAATATAGCAACATATAAAATAGAAACTGTAAATATATTGGGGAAAACATTCGTGCTTTTTATAAAAAATGCTAAACATGCAGCATATTGCAATTTTTTGCCAAAGCAAAAAAGAAAGAAAATAGAATGAAAATGAATAAAATATCATAGTCACGACATAGTTGCACCTTCAGATTAATGAAAAAATTGTTTTGTATCAATTTCTCAAACCAGTAATAATATATAAATTATTTAGAGTGACACAGTTTCACTTGGGTGCCAGAAGTTTGAAGAGCCCTCTAGGCTACACAAATTTTTTTTTATAACACCTCAACAACTAGTTCTCACATTTACATATACCTCCACACGATTTTTTTCCACATGACCAGAGGTGGGCAAAAATTGACTAGGTACACCTGACATGCAAGAACCCATATATATAAATAATAATGCCAAGGAAAGTACAGGGGAAGTTATTAGACCAAATTGTAAGGTAAATGTGAAGAAAAAGAAGCGAGCGAAAATATTACTTGCCGTGACCAGGAACCGAACCTGCGACCTTTAACCTGCGTTATTCGAAGGTTGCACGTTCGGTTCCTGCTCACGGCAAGTTATCTTTTCACCCACTTTTCTTTCTTCAGATTTACCTTACGATTCGGTCTAATAACTTCTCCTATACTTTCCTTGGCAATATTGTCTGTTAGATTTCATTGTTATTGTGTCAGAACACAAAAAAACAAGCCCTTAAGTATACACTTCTTTCCCTTATTCATTAACGAGGGTCTCATACTGGCAGACTTGGTGCCTTAAGTTGTATACGAAGAACTATTGGTCAGCTGCCAGCTCGTAATAAGTTCACGTGCTATGTGACGCCAAACAGGCTCATAAAGAGTGTGCTACACTCACTGCCATGGCTACTGGTGGCACTGACTGACACTCCTACGTTTGAGTTCACATATATACCTAATAAAGTGGCTAGGGGGATAGCCGCTGTGGTAGCTCAGTGATAGAGTGTCGAACGTGTATTCAAAGGTCACAGGTTCAATTCCTGCTCAGGGCAAGTTATCTTTTCACCCACTTTTCTTTCTTCACATTTACATTACGATTCGGTGTAATGACTTGCCCTTTACATTCCTTGGCATTATTGTCTATTAGATCTCAGTAATACTGTGTCAGAATGTGAAAAAATGAGCCCTTAACCTTCTTACCTTATATATATAATATATATATATATATATATATATATATATATATATATATACACACACGTACCACACACACACACATTTCACATTGCACTAGATGTGAACAAACAGGTAACAAAACACTAAAACTGCTGCTTGAAACCAGAAAAAAACATACTTCAATAAAGTTATACACTTACACAGATGATTATATTAAGTAGATAGCGTCAATCTGTCACATGAAACGAGTACAAAGTGAGATGGAGGTGATTCAATTCATCAACGGAAGTGGCCGAGTTTCATAAGGCATTCGTACAGGCACGAGACAAGAGAAAGTGATTTAGGCCTTATCAAGGAGACAATAAAACAATAGAATGGGTGTCCCCATATAGAGCACAGACTGTTCACCAGCTCACGCACAATGTGAACGAAAAGGCAGCCTGCTGAGAAATGTTACACATAGGAATGCATGTGGGTTCGCTACAGCACAGAGCCTCTCGATCTATTCAATGAAGTTAGCTTTCTTTACAGTAGAATTTACAATTTATACCTGGTAGTAAATTTACTTCAGTTGCCCGCTAACACAGGTGAGATTTTGACGCAGAGTTCACAAAGTCATTCATTGACAAGTGATCTAGGCTGTTTGATATTTGACGTGCCCATTACCAATATTGACCGCAACTTTTTTTTACAAGAATTTCAGTGTAAGGTGCTGTTTCCTAAAAAGAGTCATGAAGAACCCTTTGTTGAAAAAACACATCCGGTGGAATGCAGACATGGCTCTGAACTGCTCAATCAAATATTTCAGCCGTGCGCGCCGCATCAAGGCTACAAGAAGCAGTGAGAAATAGCCGACCTGAACTACGAGTTGTCAGCAGAAGCTGTCAGCACTGCGACATCACGCAACATTGAAGTGAGGCGACGAAATGCACAGGACAGGGCACCACAAATGCCGCTGCCCTCTCCTATGAAATTGAGAGAGTTGAGGGAGAATGCGTCAGGCAAATATCCTGATCACTGTATCTCCAATTGTACTTTAACTTTTCAAAAAAATTCTCTTGGCTATGTATTTTTTGGGGAGACATCCGACTCATTCCAAGGTGTTTTCACACCAAGCGCAAGGGCTAGTTTAGGACCCCTTTAAATACAGGAACTGTGTTCATAATACAGTGTGAAAACAAACACACCGCGAATCACTGCTATGGTCAGTACAGAAACGAGGTTGTGACAGCAGAGGCCAGAACCTGCTTAGTCACTCTACTTTCTATAATTCCACAAGATTGCATCAGAATGCAAATTTCACAGGGTTTTTCTGTATGATGATTACTATTACCTATTCTGTTTGAGTTAAACTTAACACCTAACTTTTTGAGGGAGATGTTTGAGGTCTTGAACCTTGCAAGAGGTTCGGTAAAGAAACCAGCAAGAAGCCACTTCTTTACACAGAATGCAGTGAAAAACTGTACAAAATAACTACTCAGCACTTCTTCCTAAATTTGTGGTTCATTGTTGAAGTTCAGGGACTTACAGCAATTATTGACACAGCCAGCACAAACTTGGTTTTCCAGAAGGTCTTGATCGAACAGATGGTCACATGACTCGCTCAACACTCTTAGCAGCGAGTTTCACAAGTCGGCCGCAGCGAATGCCGAAATGTTGCTTTTATGTGACCACCTTGTGCAACACTCACAAGGTGGTCACATTGTGCAACAGCTTTTGGGAAAATACGCTGGCTGCATCACGCGGTGGGCACTTCCAGACGTGTTCAAGTGTATAGCATCCGAGCAGCAGCTGAAACTACCACATACAGCAGATTTCTTCACAGTCAAGATGGCAGTGTACGATGGGCACAGCTTCGTCGCATACAATGAGAACTAAAATTCCAAGAAAGTGGCTGGAATCAGTGACCCAAATACTGGTTGACATCTGGGAAACAATCTAGGAGATCTACATTCATGGCAACTTTTTAAAACATACAGAAAATCCATTTGACATTAAAATGGCTGTTAAAAATTTTAAAAACTATCATTGAACAATCACTTTGTTATTTTCTAAAAAATCTACAGAGAGCATTTTTTTAACATTTACATATGGTTACAAATCATTATCACATGACAGGATGGTTAACCACAGTTAGCCGCCATTTAACTCAACAGCAATTGAAAATGCTAGTATGACACGGGTTACTGGGCATGTCAGGTTTCATGTGTACTACCTTTGTCACACAAAACGAGTAAACAATTATGCTCTCCAGAGGAAAGTTCGACTGTCAAGACTGGTGCAGTTGAATGGCACAAAATAATAGGATAAAGTTCTAAAAAAACTGTTCACCGTTTTCTCTTACCAGGCGCTTTTACTTCTGCATAACATAGCACCGCATCACTGAAAAGATAGGTGTGCCATGAGTATATGCACTGAAAAGTGGTGAACCAAGAATCCACGGGCAAGCACCTCCTCTTGGCTTCTTGAACCTGACACGATTCTCGCTGCAGTTGATTACGATGTTCCGAAGGAGGCGAACGGCAGCAAAGTGCAGCGCAGTGAAACACACTAGAGAACCCAAACTGCATTGCAAAGTCAATCAGAATGGAAGTTTACATCACCACATGTTCGAGCTTGCCGCGTGCTGCTAGACGGGAAAAATGCAGCCATCGTTTCCTTCCACAAGTGGGAGCCCTGAAAGTATTGTTTCGAGCGCAGTGGGCGGAACCTCCCGGCGAACTTGGAACTGGGGCCACGACATACATACCCACGCAGAGGGACCCTGTTTATCTCTCAGCTGTCTTCAGTGGCAGAATCATGCAGTTGAGCGATTCTGCCAATGAAAAGGGTCACAAAAGGTATTTCGAAAAGGGTCAACCAGTTGAGCAAATGAGCCATCGTCCGGATTACAGAAATGTAATTTGTAGCGGTGAGAAAAGAGCGATCAAACGTCGACAGAAAGGGAGCAACTCACCCCGTAGCATTCCGATGTTTGCGCGTAGAGATCAAGAGGGAGCGAGTAAGCGGAATGCACGGTGACGCAGGCTTGGTTCACTTTTAGGTCACACATGGTTCAAGATGCGCGCGGCAGCACGGGCGGAGACGTGAAGTGGCTGTCGCAGCAAGGCGCCTGATTACGATGCGGGAACTTTCCAGGGCAAAACGAGCGCCTGACAAGCGCTTCCTGCCGAAGTCCGCTGCGACTAAAGGTGTGCGCCGAGGCGGTTTCAATAGTATATAGGTGTTCTGTGGTTTCGACCAGCGGCGGCGTGGAGGTCGTTCCGAGTCGGCGGCGGCGGTGGCGTCGGCGCACGCCGGAGGAGGCCCTTGCCTGCCGGATGAGCGCGAAACGCCGGTCATCTATGACAGCGCTGCCTACGTAGGGTAGACTTATAGCGGGTAGACTTAACTAGAAGGAGGTTATCTGATTGGTGGCTAAAGTCAAGGCGCGAGTAAAAATTAAACCCTTCACTGCAAAGCACGAATCCTCAACCTCACTATTCAAAGGGAAAAAAAAGATCAATGTAATGGTTAGTTCACTAAGTGGCTAGGTGACGTTAGCCGTCGCCCGATCTAAAGGATACAGCCGCATCTATCCACCCATTTATCTGTAAGGGTCTTTGTACTTGGCGTTTAGGATCGGTCATTTTGGCATTTGCTACTAATTTCAGAGGATGTCTTGTATTGAAGAATTCGCCTACTGAATGACGGCGTCACTTACGTAGGGTCCAATAAAATTACTTTTACGCTTTTTTTAATGTTTTACGTTATTTTTGTTGCATATAAGCTCTAAAACGTAAAAACTTATTTGAAGACACCCCTACTTAGGTAGCGCCACTACCATAGTTCCGACAATGGCCGTTTTCAAGTGACCACCGATAATCCGGCAGGCAAGAGAAATCTAGGCGGCTATGGCCGGACAAAGGGATCAGTGGCGGCGGCGCCAGCGGCGTAAAAACCAAAACTACAATTTAAAAAAAAAAACTACTTTATTGTGTTTTCTCTGCTTATTTAGCTGGAATTAACTACTTTTAACAGTAATGCCTGAGAGAACAGCTTGGAGATGCAAGAGGACTTGCAGACGTTCCGTAAATCTTTTGTGTTTGAGCATACGAATTGAATATGTTCTTTCAGCGCACCCCGTTTGTTCAAAAAGCTAACACTGTATCACAAAAAAATTTCATTTCTTTTTACTTTCACAACAAATCTGTTATATCTGCTACATATTATTCCTTAATAACTTACACTTTGTATTGTTTCTATTTCCAAGTAACTGTTGATCTTTTATTTATTATCTAATGTACTGCTCTTTTTTTTTTTTTTTTAGGGATAGACAGGTGGGCAACTTATGTAGGTAACAATGGCATGTAGTGATTCATGAAACACACGATAAAGGCGCTAATTCGTCTCCCATAAGGGGACACTGCTCAGCGACTTATGATGCAAGTGCTACAACGCAACGAATACAAAAGGAGCGAAATGAATATTCGCAATGAATGGATGGATGGATTGATACGGTTGTGCCCTTTAGATATACCCAGCGGTTATCGTCGCCTGGCCGTAATACTTAGTGAACTAGAACTACGTGTATATATTTGTTTATTTGTAGTGAAGTTGAGGACTGGTACTTTGCAGTAAAGAGTTTAATTTTCACTTGTGCTTTGATTTTAGCCACCAATCAGATAAACTCCTTCTGGTTAATTCTACCCGCTTAAAGTCTATTTTGCCCTCCCTGTCCCTAAAACCCCGTGCTTTGAAAAACTCTGCGCCATCATCCTGAACTATTGGGTGAAGCCCTTTACAGAACGTTAGCAAGTGTTCGGCAGTTTCCTCCTCCTCTCGACAAGCAGTGCAAACCAACGTCTACCCCTTCGTATTTGGCCCGATATGTCTTGGTTCGCAATAATCCCGTCCTGGCCTCAAACAGCAGAGAACTCCATCGAGTCATATCATAGCTCCTTTCCTTGGCAATTTCCTGCTTAAAAGTTTGATAGATCAGTAGTGCTGACTTCTTAATCATGCCAATTCTCCACGTATCGGTCTCCGTTTCCTTTACCTTCTTCTTAACCGATAGTTCTTTTTAATTTGCTCTCCTGCTCTTTTCCGATTATTTACCCGTCTATTTCTGGTTTGCTTCCTCCATTTTGTATCGACATTCCTCATGTACAAGTAGCCGAAAACCTTCCAAGCCTAACGCTTCTCCCCCATTTCTCTCAATCGCTTCTCGAATTTTATCTTGCTGCTACTAGCTTTTCTGCCTTCGATTGATGTCCATCCCATATCACCTTGTACTCCTTGATTTGGTGTATTCCTGTGAGCTCCTGAAGCAAGCCTACCTATTCCTCGTCGCTTAATCTCTAATCTTGCTTGAACCTCCGATCTCATGCACAAGACCGCATTGCCGAAAGTCAGACCAGGAAACATGACAACTTTCCAAATTCCTCTCACTACATCATACCTGTTGCAATTCCACAGGGCCCAATTTTTCATCACCGCTGCATTCCTCTTTCCTTTAGTCGTTACGTATATTTCGTGTTCCCTTAGGTACTCGGCCCCATTGCGTATTCATACGCCCAGACATTTGTATTAATTCGTTATCTTTAGCGTGACCTCCTGTATTGTAAGCTCACTACCTTCATTATCATTGAAAATCATGACTGCTGATTTTTCCTTGCTTAACATCAAATCTAACTTATCTCCCTCATTATCGCAAATGTCCATCAATCTCTGCAAATCTTCCTTGTTGTCGGCCATCAGCATATAATCTGCGTACATCAATGCTGGTAGTGCCTGTTCAATAAGTTTTCCTTGTTTGTTGAAAGAGAGGTTGAAGCCAAGTCCACTCCCCCCTAATTTGGCCTCTAATCCTTGTAGGTACGTCATGAATAACAAGGTTGACGGAGGACACCTCTGCCTAATGCCCCGTTTTATCTCTGGGAGCTCGGATATACCTGTTTTTTTTTTCTCATTTTATAACTACCTTGTTACTTTTATAGATATCGTTTAAAAGCTTAGTTACTTCATCATCTACACCTAGTGTGTCCAGTACTCCCCGCAAGACCTCTTGAAGCACGCTATCGTACGCTCCCTTGATATCCAAAAATGCTAGCCACAGGGGCCTGTGTTCTTTTCTGCTATTTCGATGCACTGTGTCAGTGAGAAGAGATTATCTTCCAACCTTCCAACCTCCTTTGTTTTTGAAACCCATTCTGCAGTTTTCCCAGCACCCCTCATCCTCTATCCATGCCTGCAGTCTTTCCTTTATAATCTGCATCGCCAGCCTGTAGACCACTGATGTCACTGTTATAGGACGGTAGTTGTTTATGTCAGCTTTGTCCCCCTTTCCTTTATAGATCATGCTTATCCTGCTAAGTTTCCATCTATCGGGGCCTTCATCATCGATTATTGTTTTGCTCAATGCCTCTCTCAAAGTCTGTTTAGACTTCGGACCCACTGTCTTTATCAGCATAATTGGAATGCCATCTGGGCCTGTTGATGTACTACTACGAACCCTTTTCTCAGCCCTTTCCCATTCTCGTTGTGAAAATGGAGCCATTGCGCCACTCGATCCATCCTTGTCTATTGTGGTGCATAACGCACTTCTTTGCTGAAATTTTTTTGTCACCCTTGTTCTTACATATTCAATAGGTTCATCCCCTTCTAGCCTAGCACCTTGAGCTGTAGTTGTAAACCTCTGTTCTAGTCTTGTCTCATTTATTAGGGAGTTTAGATGGTTCCAAAATTTCACAGCTGCCTTTCTATCTTTTTTATGTACTTCTGCCATCCAGTGGGCTCCCTGTCTTCTAATCTTTTCATTGATCAGAAGGGATGCATCGCTTCTACAGCTTAGAAAGATTTCTCATTTTCTTTCAACATCATCTGTCGGTTCACCCTGCTGCCTAGCATGTCTGTGTTTCCTAGAGGCTTCCTGACGTTTTGCTATGGCTCTCTTAACTTCCTCATCCCACCAACTTTTGGGTTTGTGTCTTCTTTTCCGGGGTGACTTGTCACGTGCCTTAGCAAGCTCTAGCTCATACAGTCTTATTAGATTCGTGTACGTCGACATTGTTTTATTATCCTCAGTGATTACTTTCTGAATTTGTTCAGTAGCTATTTCTATTTGCCTTTCTGAACATAAATTCCCCTGTAGGGGCTCATCTTGTCTCCTTCGCACTTTCATTGCTCTTCCAAAACTTAGCTTGGTGCGTTTGTGATCACTACCCAAGCTTCTGGAGCCGCATTCATCTATGCGTATTCCCCTGAGCCTATCATACATCCTATGTGATATCAGTGCATAATCTATCGTCGACTACAGGCAATCCCTACCTCCCATGTTATTTGCCACTCATACATCCTATGTGATATCAGTGCATAATCTATCGTCGACTACAGGCAATCCCTACCTCCCATGTTATTTGCCACTCACACTTATCAATACTGTTGCAAATGAGCAATGTTCATATACTGTCGAGCCGCCTAGCGAAATTCAGGAGCGCCCTTTCATGTATGATCTCTAGGCAGATGCTCCCAACGCTGCCTTGTTAGGCGGTGCTTGCCGCAGTGTTAATGCGTTAGCAAGAAACGAACACAAATCATTTTTGTATGTTTCGTGCATCAGTGAATATACCGGACCGACCATGACACGATAAATTTGATTCGTTCTTGCGAGACGCGAAGTTTTCGTGAAAATACGTGGCAACTCGCGCTTCCGCAGAGTAGACCTGTGCGCCGGTACCGCAATTGCCGGCGGCAGCGCGTGACCGGCGCTGGGCTCATGGAATCGGCGGCGGCGCGGAAGGGGGGGGGGGGGGGGGGTATGATCCAGAGGGAGGAGAAGACAAGAACACGGAAATATCGACTGTCTCCTTGAGCGAAGCTCTGTATTGTTAAAGTCCTCTTCTGTGGTTCAGCGCAGCCCTCCGGTGGTGTTCCGTGGCTCCGGAATATGACGGTGGAAGCCACCTTCATTTTCGTGTGATGCCCCTTGCTATCTTTAGCAGGAATTCGATAAGGGCCAGGAAAACCGCGACCGCCAGGATAGAAGTATCCGATATAAAGAAGCACCTTGAGAGCTTTCTGCTAGAGAAGGGAGCATGCGCTGCCGCATCGGGCAGGGGTGAATTGGCCTCACCAATGTCTGTGCCTCAGTTTCTTATGACGCCAATATCGTCCTAGGGGCGTTACGGGCAGTTGTGAATACCTTTCGACTCGACTAGCGCGCACATACTCAGTACTGAAAAATAAGGTGCAA